GAGTTGCACAGTCCGGCGGAGGAGGAAGGAAGCGGCCATAGCCGCGGAGTATCATCACCGGGTATCGAAGGAGAGAGACAGGGAGGACAGAGGAGGGACCGAAGGAGGGAGAAAGAGAAGTGTGGAAGGAGGGATATCGGAGAAGAAGACAGACATAGCCGGGGGTGAACACAAAAAAAAAAAAGAAAAAAAAAAAAGAGATAGAAGAAGAAAGACAGCGAGGAGGAAGAAGGTGAAGGAAGGGGAAGTAAGCGGCGAGGGTGACGAAGGTGAAGGTGCCGACAGCCATAGCCGAGGTGAAGGGTTGACCGGGCGTTGACCAGAGGGCTGACCAAGGGTTGACCAGAGGGTTGACCGAGGGTTGACCAGGGGTGCTGACCAAGCGTTGACTGGGGGTTGCCCGCGTTGACTCAGCGTTGAACAAGGCGTTGACCGGAGCTGCTGACCAAGATTTTGACCAAGCTGGAGTTGGTGATATCTCGCTGAGCCCTTAGCCTATCCCCTTACCCGGTGGATGTGCACCTACCCCACGGTACTTGCTGAGTCTGTCTGTCTACTCTTTCTGTATTGAGTCTCTTCTGTCCTAGGTGTGAGGACTCTGTGGATGAAGGATAGGGCCTTGCTGCCAAACCTGCACGGGACTTAGTAGGACTAATCTCTACTCTGGCATCTGGAGACCTGGGCATGAGCGGCGAGCGCTCGTTAAACAACTCGTCTAGCCCAATGACCGGTACTGTCCGGCAGGTCTACTCAGTTTCAGTGTAGAGGGTCCGAACTCCGAGCTGTAGGCTGAAACGAAGGCTGTCTTTAAGTGTTGAGGCCTGGTTGAACCACTCCCCTACCGGACCTAGTAAGGCTGATGATCTGTGTCTGACGACTCGACTGTCCCGAGGGATACGAACCCCTCCAAGGACCGGTACAGACCGGCGGGCTGCTCGGTGTGGCACAGTAGGCCGGAACGGCTGAGTTGTGGGCTGAAATCGCCAGGAAGAACCACGCTGATCACGTCGTCCTGACTGCGACGTTAAAGAATTCTTGCGGAGTTTGGGGGATCTCCTTAAATGCCGCCTGATCAGCTGTTGGTTCAATAGTGACAACCTTAAGAGTAGTTTTGAGTAGTGACCTTACAGAGTCAGTCAGTAGGTCAGTGTCCGGGTAGGTCTAAGTGGTAAGGAGTGGGACTCTTGTCGTGCACCTTATACCACGATGGATGACTATCCGATGTATGGGCTGCTTGTGGGGTTCTCCCTCTGGGGGACCCTATGGCGTCTCCTCTTTCCTCTGGGCTTTTGGCCCACCTTCACGTGTAGAGTAGGGACTCGGGGTGGTACTTCCACCCAACCTTACACGAAGATGGAGGAGGAGAAGATGGCCGCCGTCCTGAGGGAAAGAAAGGAGAAGAAAGAGGCCAAGAAGAAGGCCCTACAGGAGGAGCAGGCGGCCAAGCTGAAGAAGATAGAGGAAGAAATGGCCAGGGAGAAGGAGAGAATAAAGAAAGAAGAAGAGGAGAAGCTGAAGGAGGTGGAAGAGGAAGAGGAGGAAGATGAAACACCACTGCAAAGGAAGAGGGGGCAGCATGGTGGCACCAAAGATGAAGAGATGGAGAAACGGATTTCGGAGTGGGTCGCCAACTTATCCCTGGTGAAGACGAAGAGGTAACCATGTATATCCCCAAGGATGAGCAGGAAGCCGCTATGAACAAATTGGAAGAAGAAGAAGATGTTCTGAAGCGGCAGGCGATAGAAGATGAAACGAGGATGGTGTGGAAACTCGCAATGATGAGGGAGAAGAAAAGAAGAGTGGAGGCGACAAGTGAGGCGGTTAAAGAGCTGGAGGAGGTGCAAAAACTAACTCTACGATTGACCCCCCAGGTAGACCTCCAACAAAAGGTGGATATCATTGCCCAAAGCGTCGAGCGTTTAGCGAGAGTACAAGAACAGCAGTACGAGTTTAGCCGAAGTCAGGACATAGCTGTGCGTTCGATGCGGATGGGGTTCCGGGACTTTGCCCGCAAATTGGTAGGAGCTGTAGGAGCCGAGGTGAATCATCGCCTCGAGAAGACTGAGCGTTTTTGTGTTGGCGCCCTTAAAGGCGTCAAGGTGGCAGCTCCCAAGGAGGGCGAACCGCGTCCTCGTAGGGAGCCAGTCAAAGTTAAGTTCCCTGATTCCTACACTGGAAAGAGGGAAGAAAACTTTGACAATTGGGAGGCCAATGTCAAGACCTATGTGCACCTGCAACAGGTCTCCCCGGATCAGCATGTCTTGATTGCGATCCATGTGCTAAGAGATGAAGCTGCCAGCTTTGCAAGGTCCCTAGTTCGCGCCGCCAACTGCAATGATGATGCAGTTGCCTATTCGTCATTCACTCCCCTCGTTGAGTTCATGAAATTGCTGCGCGAGCGATTTGCAGATGTTGCTCGCAGTGTCAAGGCCTCAGATAAGCTCCAGACGATCGATCCATGCTCGTATGTGGAAGAGTGCTAGGGCACTCAAGAGCACAATGGACGAATTAGTAGTTGTCCCTGACCACTGGGTTACAGACACCCAGTTGGTTGCCCTCTTCTATAGAGCGATGCCCGAAGCTTTTCGCGGGCACTTCTTCGCGAAGAGCGAAGACCCTGCCACCACCTACGATTCCCTTAGTCGTGAGGTGGTGGCCTTAGAGGCAAAATTTGTGTCAGTCTCCACCTTCTGGCACAAAGATTTGGATAAGGGAAAGCAATGGAAGGGACGCACTACTGAAGAAATTTGGTCCACACTTTCAATGTGCTGAGACGGGCGTGGTCCTATATAAACCTACTAATTCATTGAGAACATTATCCAACGATGATTCGTGGCGGAGAGCCGTATGATGGGAAACTATCATGTGCAGTTTGGAGGGCGTTGGATAAGGGAAAGCAATGGAAGGGCCGCACTATCTCTGGGCAGGTGAAGACTAAGGATAGTCTTGTCCTAACTTTAGATGAGGGTAGTGTGCATGAGATCCCCTACGATCAGACTGAGTGGGGGTTAGAGGAGGAGGACAGCGGCGTGGGCCAGGGCAGAACTTACGCTGCTGTCGCAGCTGGAGGGAGGCCACAAGGAGGAGGACGAGGCCAGGGCCAAGGGGGCCGGGCCTCAGGGAGCCGGTTCCGGGGCGATCAGGGGGTTGGTGGCAGAGGAGGAAACCGCCAAGCGGGAGGAAGGGGTCAAGGTCCCCCGCAAAACTGTCCTAGGAACAGGTCTCCCTATAGGGTAGGAGGATGGCACCCAAGGCTTCCTCAGGGTAGGCCTTGGGAAAGTTTGGGTCTAGACCAGGACTTATGGCAAAAACGATTGGACCGGGGCCAGTGCATCTTCTGCGGTGACCCGGGCCATATCATCAAATACTGTCCTAAGTATAGAGAGACCCGGACGACTGCTCAAGGGCCAAAAGGCAGCCGCCGGTAGGGGTAGCAACTGCCCCTACCATTAGGCCATGTGGGGAACATAGCGCTAGCCGGCAAGAGACTCCCACACCACATGTGCCTATGGCAGAGGTTGCAGGCCGGTGTCTAGATCGTTGTCCAGAGACTGCTTGTGTTAGAGTCTCTCTAGACACCTCCCTCACAGACGTGGCTGATGAATTTAAGGAGAGGGTGCCCGCCTGGGCCAAGATGAAGAAAGAGAATAAAGGACAGCTTATATTACTAGATACAGAGATTTTTAGAGGTAGAGTAGGGGCCCTAGTAGACTCAGGGGCCACCCGCAGCTATATTAGTAAGAAAGCGCTGCAGAAACTGTAGCTGGGACTTAAAGTCCAGAAACTAACAGACCCCATAGTTAGTATCCTCACAGACAATCGTACTATGGTTGTAGAGGATTACGTAGAGGGAGTCCAGGCGTATTTCCGCCTAGAGTAAGATGGGAAAGTGGAGAAGGTTCTCCACTCCCTGACTCTCCTCGTAGAAGACAGCCTCCCATTTGATATTGTTCTGGGGATGGATTGGGGAGAGGCAGCCGGGGCCACGCTCCATTTGAAGGAGCACGAGTGTAGGCTCCCTAGTTCTTCAGGCGAGGCCAAGACTGTCCGCCTGTTCCATGTGTCAGGGGTAGAAAATCCCTTGGCACATTGCTGCCTTAGTGCTCCTGTGTTCGCCAGATTAGTGAAAAAGGAGAAGTTGGAGGAACAGGTTTTTGTTGCCTATGTTAGGCTAGTGACTGAGCCTACGGAAGAAAAGTCGATGGACCCTGCGATTGCCAAGCTGCTGGAAGAGTTCAAGGACCTAACTGAGCCGCCGATAGGAGTGGTACCGCGGCCCATCCAACACCGCATTGAGATAGAGCCTGGCAGTAGAACTCCTAAGGGCGCTGTGTATGGGATGTCCCCACGGGAGTTAGAGGAGCTTCGCAAGCAATTAGACGAGCTCCTCGAGAAGGATTGGATTAGGCCCAGTTCGTCTCCTTTTGGAGCGCCTGTTCTCTTTGTTCCCAAGAAAGAGGGAGAGTTTAGAATGTGCATAGACTATAGGGGTCTGAATGCGATTACAGTGAAGAATGCTGAGCCACTGCCTAGGATAGACAATCTCTTAGATCGAGTGCAGGGGGCAAAGTATTTTTCCAAGATAGATTTGAAGTCCGGATATCATCAGATAGAAGTACATCCTGATGATCAGTATAAGACAGCCTTCCGGACTAGATATGGGCACTATGAGTTCATAGTGATGCCCTTCGGACTAACCAATGCGCCATCTACGTTCCAGTGCTGCATGAACGATTTGTTTAGGCCATGGTTAGATAAATTTGTTGTTGTCTACTTAGATGATATTCTAGTGTTTAGTAAGACCCTCCAAGAACACCTGGGTCATCTCAGGCAGGTCTTGGAGAAGCTGAGGGAAGCTAACTTCAAGATCAATGCAAAGAAGTGCGATTGGGCAATGACCCAAGTTTTATACCTAGGCCACGTCTTAGACGGAGACGGCGTTAAACCAGAAGATTGTAAAATCGCAGCGATTAGAGATTGGCCCACGCCACGTACGCTAACAGAGTTGCGCTCGTTCCTGGGCTTAGCTAATTACTACAGGAAGTTCGTGAGGAACTTCTCCACCATCGTTGCGCCCCTTCGCAGATTGTTGAGGAAAGAGACCATCTGGAAGTGGGACAAGGACTGCACGGCTGCCATGAAGAAGTTAAAGCAGGCGTTGATAGAGTACCCGGTCCTTAAGGTAGCCGATCCGTCCTTGCCCTTTGTCGTCACTACGGATGCTAGCCAATATGACATAGGCGCGGTGTTGCAGCAAGACGATGGCGACGGTTATAGACCCGTAGAGTTCATGTCCGCCAGAATGCCTTCAGAGAAGGTCGCGACATCTACCTATGAGAGGGAACTCTACGCTCTCAGGCAAGCCTTCAAACACTGGAAGCACTACCTGCTTGGGAGACACTTCAAAGTCTATTCCGATCATGAGACATTAAGATGGTTAAAGATGCAGGCCAAGATGACACCTAAGCTTACTAGGTGGGCCGCAGAGATAGATCAGTACGACTTTGAGCTCAAGCCTGCCAAGGGGAAGTATAACGTAGTTGCGGATGCTCTGAGTAGGAGAGCTGATTACTTTGGGGCAGTAGTGCATTACTTAGACATAGGGAAGGACCTGCAGCAGAAGATTAGAGAAGCCGATGCACAGGACCCTATCTATAGCGACCTCCTCAAGAAGGTCAAGGAGACCCCAGAGACTGAGCCAAACTACCGCACTATGGAAGGGTTGCTTTTTTAGAAGACTAATGTATTTGACCGCCTGTGCATTCCTAATAGTGAAGAGATCCGTAGTTTGATTTTGGGAGAATGCCACGACACAGAGGGTCATTTTGGTTAGCAGAAGACTTTAGCCAATCTAATGCGCGCATATACCTGGCCAGGAATGAAGAATGACTGCGTGGAGTATGTTCGCAGTTGTAAAGTCTGCCAGCGTAACAAGACTTCTACGCGTGCCCCGTTAGGTCTTCTCAGACCCTTGCCCATTCCGGATCATCAGCCGGGAGACTCAGTGTCCATGGACTTCATGGACACTCAGGTCAAGAGCAGGCATGGCAAGAGCCAAGTCATGGTCATAGTTGACCGTTTTAGTAAGTAAGCAATTTTTGTTCCTTTGCCTTCAGAGGCACATACTGATTTAGGCATACAGAAGTTTTTTGACTGTTGGGTGAGTGAGAATGGAATCCCACTGTCAATAGTTAGCGATAGAGATAGTCGCTTCACCAGCCAGAACAGGCAAGAACTCATAAGAGTGTATGGATCTAAGTTGTTGATGTCGTCCGGCCTCCATCCTGAGACTAACGGTCAGACAGAGCAGATGAACAAGATCCTACAGCAAGTTTTGCGCATGTACATTAGGCCAGATCAGATTAACTGGGATGAGATGCTGCCTAAAGTAGCTAGTGCGTACAATAATAGCATGCATCTGTCCACCTGCCGCACTCCCAACGAACTGCACAAGTCCTTTAGGCCCCGTAGACCATTTGAAGGACTCAACCGGGATCAGATTCACAGATTGCCACCCGGGACCAGGGAGTTTGCTATGCAACACGAAAAAGAACTAGCTACTGTTGTAGAAAACCTCAAGAGGGCCCAGCATAAGATGATAGAGCAAGCCAACAAGCATCATCGCCCCTCACGGTTTCAAGTAGGCGACTTAGTCTGGGTCAGTTCTAGAGAGTTTGCCCCTGAGGAGAACATCTCGCAAAAGTTACTGCCCACCTATAGAGGACCGTGGCCAGTCTTGGAAGTCAAAGGCGGAGAAGATGGGCCGTCCTACACCATAGAACTCCCAGCACACCTCCACACTTACCCAGTTTTCCATGCATCAAAGTTGCTACCTTGTCAAACAAGTGATCAGTTTCCATCCCGTAGGTCGATGATCCCACCGGATATGGATGGAAGATATGACATCGATGGTATAGTGGCTGAAGATGTCTTCAGGACTGGAGGTAGGGGTCGTCCACAGAAACAGTACAAGGTTCATTTTAGTTATCAAGAACCGAAAGACGACCTCTGGTTTACGAGATCTGAACTTCTAGAGACAGCTCCCGATATAGTTCGGGCCTACGAGAGACAACACAGAGGTAAAGGTCCGGCCTTGGACTGAAATTTTCTCGGAGGACTTCGAATTTAGGCCGGCGGGAGTAAAACGGTATTCACCAGTTCGCAGTAGCTGATGCAGATCCCAGGGCTCAATCCCTAGTTCCCCATCTTACCTGTSTACAGTACCGGTGTCAACCCGTAGATTTGAACCTGCGACCTGTAGGACCGCCAGTGGTAGGTAGGATTTCGTAGGTTACAGGGTAGAAGAGATTCGAACTGTAGACCTGTCGGGTAGGAGTCTAGACTGTCTAGAGGTCGTAGCTGTAGACTGTCCGAAGGGTCAAGGTCGTAGCTGCTCCTTACCTGAAAGGGCAAAGTCGTAGCTGCTACAGTACCGAAAGGCCAAAACAGAGAGTTCTAGAAGTGGCCTTTCGGAGTCAGCCTACGTTAGAC